GGCAATAGGAGAATGCGTAAGTACTGGTCAAAGCAGTTAGTCAGGGAGCATACATTTATTCTTATACATTTCAGGTATGGTTTTCTATGGAACGGAAGATTCCCATTACTATGATGTTAAATGAATAAAATGAACTTGTAACTGAATTACATTGTTAATATCCTCTGAATAAAGATCTTAAAAGGTAAGGTAGTGTTTTTGAAAGGTCACATAAGAGCAGTCTGTGACGAAAAGTTCGTCATCAATAAATGACAATTCTGTCGATTCCATAGTAAATAAACGAACAATATCTACAATATTTACAAGTAAATTTAGACCGTTACAGGTTAACAACTACACATAATACTTAAGGTGTAATAATTAAGCTAAAGGATAAACATAATACGTATCAATGTATCCCCAATGAATTTCAGGGGCTTGTTCTTCATCCACAATAAAAATATTGGAAATATCGAGAAATCCATTAAGACCTGTTACATTTCATAAGGAGATGTCCAGAATGTGAATAATAATTACGAAAAACAAACTTTAGGAGATAGAGAAAAATCTAAATTTACAAATACATTGTTTCTGTTGAATAATTTCATAATGCTTACGAGAGGAGCTCTTAAAGTTGAGAGAGAAGTTGGTATATTGAACATACGGCGCCCAGGTACATTAAAAGGAATAAGTGACAGAATTTCGCGACTATTTAATTTACTATTGATCAACTTGTACAAAAACATAATAGCAGATAGATTTGTTCTTTGATCCAAGGACCTTATTTGGAATTCATTTCTTAAATTAGTTGATCTAACTATATTATAGTCTGGGTACGAACGGTATTTTCTATAATACAATACTTTTAAAAATGTATTCTGTACTCTCTCTTTTTTATGTAATGAGGATACATACTCCGAGTATCACATTAATGATGCAAACTTTAACTTAGGCCTTATAACTGCAAAATAGAGTAGTTTTATTGTGGTAATATTGCTCCATATCTGTACATCTAATTAGTTTTTTTCCTCCATCTCATAGTTTAAGATAACTAATGCAGTTTGTTAATCAGACTCCATTCATGAATACTATTCATGTCCTCCAGCAGCATAACATAATCCCGTACTGAGTGAAGATCGTTTATGAATATAGTGAAAAGGAGAGGCCCCAAATTGGAACCCTGTGGCACTCCAGAAGAGTTTGCATGGTATTTCCCTGATGCATTTCCTTTGTGTCTGACAATTTATAACTTCATCAATTCAACAAAATTCTTCGTTAATTCGAAGCATGTCAACTTTTTCAGACGTACGTCATGTTTTAGACGGTCGAATGCTTTGAGGAAATTGGTAAATACCGTATCCATTTGGGATTCACATGCAACTGTTTCAAATACATGGCTTCCAAAAATAAACAAATTCTTATTGATCGACTTATTTGACATGAAACCATGCTGCTCGGATATTATATATTTTTCAGCATTTTGATATAGTGTACTGTATATGATATGTTCGAATAGTTTGGACGGAGCACACATGATTGAAAATGACCGATAATTGTCAATGTGCGCCTTATCACAAGATTTATAGGTTGGTGTAGTGATTGTTGTTTTCCATTGCTCTGAAAAGAGTCTCGACTCAAGAATTTTATTGAAAATATTGAAAAAGGGTTTTTTAACCATTCATTACCATCTTTCAAGACATAGGGAAGGATACCATCAGTGCCTGTAGCTTTTTTGGTTTTGACACCTATTAATCATCTTTGTGTCTTTGTACTTATGATATATATAGGACGTTCCAATCAAAAATTGACCCTCTGAAAGTCAGAAACGGACGTGTTTTCGAAAATTTCAAAGAACACGTCAATTTTTATTTCTAGGGGTGGAAAGTCATCTTCGTTTCAAGCAGATTGGAGCCCAGCTCCCTTACCCTTAGGACTGAATTTCTGGGGGATTTCTGATATGGAAATCATACTCGAAACTTCACTCCCCTGCGGTCAGCAACTACTTTTTTTCAATGGCAGGGGGTCGAGTGATACATCATTTGAAAGGTATTACTTCTGTTATATTTTTCGAATTTGGTTCATTCGTTATTGAGAAATTGAATGTTGAACGTTTTACTTAAGAAAAAAACTCGCTATCGCTCATTTCATTGAGGAAATCACGAAAGTATCTGTATTTGTAGAGTAGGGAGGGTGAGTGTTAGCCCACGCACTAAGGCCACATGTGACCCATTGTACATTCTCCCGAGGAGTTATCCTCCTAGGTCATTGTCCATCTTGTCCTTTCCAGGAAGGTTGACAGGTCGCTGGGAGACATCTTCTTTATATCGGCAGGTGTAGGCCAAGACTCACCGAACACACACTCTCTTATTGACGATAACTGCGGGCACTCGCACAGGACATGCCTGACAGTCTCATCTTCCTGTTCACACATCCTGCATAGAGGTGTGTCCACTAGCCCCATATTATGGAGGTGTTTCCTTAGTTGACAGTGGCCAGTCAGAAATCCTACTATGAGGCGTAGATTTTTCCTGGTCATCGCCAGATATTTCTTCGGCGCTAGCTTTCCAGGGTCGCCCAAGGTGATCCTGGAAAGATTACACCCTTTGATTCCATTCCATCTCTTTAAGGATTGAGCATGTGTGTAACATTTGACTCGTTCCGCAATTGTCGAAGTCATCAGGCCGTAGGTGCCACTGGGTCCTTAAATTCTTAGTCCAGCCGCTTCCTAACAAACCTGGGTTCAATTATATCATTTGTTGCCTGCAGCAGAAGTTGCGCAGTAAGCGCTACCCGCCATAGGCCCAGCCTCAATTGACCCATTCCTACTACGAGGTTTACACCAGCCGTGCACAATCTTACCATGGCCATTAACGCAACCTCCTTAACGTACAGATCCAGAGGGGTCAGACCCGTGATTAATTCCATTGCCGCGGTTGGTGTTGTTCTCATTGCTCCTGTGATGTTTAAACAAGCCAGTCGCTGTATTCGGATAGCCGTTGCTTGTAGAACTTTCGGTCCCCCTGCAATGGCTACATACATTAACATAGGTCCGACATTGCTCATAAGCCACGTATGCTCTTTTTGCTTTACTATCAACAAAAGTAATATCAATGGCAACACAATCAACGGATAAAGTATTCAAAATGACCTCCACTAATCTCATACAATAATACAGTCTACTTCAGAAAGCGTTCCTTACATTATTGAAGATGTCATAGAATTGTTCGGAAATGCCGAACAATTCTCTGTCGCAGCTATTCCAGATTTGTAGGCTCAGCAGAGTACACTTTCGACTTCAGTTGTCATTACAGAAAGAAGTCCATCGGTGTGAGATCAGGTGATCTAGCTGGCCACTCCACTGGATCCCTTCTGTCGATCCAAAGCATTGGAAAACATTCGTCCAAAAACTGTCTCACGCGAACATCAAAATGTGAGGGTGCACCATCCTGCTAGAATGTTACTTCATTTTCTACTAAATTTTTATCATTTTCTACAATTTGTGCAATCATAGGATCTACACAGTCTTGTAATAGATTTAAGTATGTGTCATCATTGAGAATACGTTCAATGAAGAATAGTCCAACAATATGATTACCAAAAATGCCGGCCCACATGCCGATGTGATTCCATCACCAAATGAGGAATCACATCGCGCCAGTAACGAAAATTATGTCTATTTATTTCACCATTCAACATGATTGAACTTTCTTCTGACTTCTGACTCCGGAAATATTCAATAATGTAAGGAACGCTTTCGAAAGTAGACTGTATTATTGTTTGGAACTGGATTGAGGTAGGTCATTTTCAACACTTTATCCTTTGATTGTGTTGCCATTGATAATACTTTTGTTGATTCCTCAATGAAATCAGCGACAACGCATTTTCTGTTATTTTTTAAATGAAACGTTCAACATTTAATTTCCCATTAACGAATGAACCAAATTCGAACAAAATCACAGAAATAATAGAGGGACAAAAGACCTTTCAAATGTTGTATCACTCGACCCCGCACGCCATTGATTAAAATGGGGAGGGTAGTTGCTGACCGCGGGGGGTGAAGTTTCGGGTATGATTTCCATATCAGAACAAGCCCCCCTAGAGATAAAAATTGACGTGTTCTTTGATATTTTAGATTACACGTCCGTTTCTGACTTACAGGGAGGGTCAAATTTTCATTCGAACCAACGTTAGTGATAGAAACAGTATCAGAAAACTGTCTTTTAAGTACCTTTTCTAATGTCTTCCATAAAGGTTATAATGAAAAATATGCCCTGTATTGTTAGGTTACGATGGGTTAATGTTACACCGACACAAATCAGCAGCATACCACTATTGTAACATTTTTGATGGTTCAAACGTATGTGTTCATTGACAACCCCATTTGTTTCAACCCCATCTCGACTTCCACAGGTCCCAGGTCTCTTCACCACTCTTATTGGCTCGAAAGAAGACTGGACTTTTCTAATGGAGACGGAAGCGAAGGCGTGCAAAGCGTACTCAGACCAAAGATGCACTATAAGCAGAGGAAAGGTTCTTGGAGGTACCAGCACCATTAACAACCTGCTTTACATTCGTGGGCTTCCCGAAGACTACGAGAAATCTGGTATAGAAACTTGGAATTCTGAAATAACTACAAAAATATTCGAGAAAATGGAGGGCAACGAGAGCGCACCACTCCGGTCTTTGTTTAGTGATGCCTGGCTGCACTTGAATTTTACCAACTACACGGGAACTCCGAAACATGTTTTGGAAGCAGCCTACTTAAGAACCGGTTACAGGCGACTACCTATAAGACATGCCATCGGCGTTGTGGATCATTTGACAATGAAAAATAATGGAGCGAGGATTAATATGGCTCAGAGCTTTCTCACTCCAATAAAGGAGCGTCCAAATCTGTTTTTCACTAAAACTACGGAGGTGGAGGCTATTGGAATAACTGAAGCTGTTGATAAGCGAGCCAACGGAGTTAACGTTTCCATCAATGGAGTTAGGTTCGTACCTTTCAAAACCTAAAGCAAATGCAAATCCAAGATAGAGTGGATGTAAACATTGACATGTCCTACGCACGTGATATTGAAAATCCCAAGAATTGGCCAGGGTCGTATTCAGAACCAACATCTTGTTGATCGTAAATGTTATATCATACTTAGGAAAACTTTTTTATAATAACGAGTGAAATGCACAAGTTTTGCAGTTTAACGGGAAAAATGCAGATAATATGTATAATATAAAAAGATTTCCATTGGATTTTTCACAGCGCACTCAAGCATTATATGAAAAGAGACGTAATTATTTCTATATTGATAATTTTTATTTCATGTGAAATCAAAAAGAATATCAATCAAAATTATTCAACTGGATGAATTTGTCTCTTCATCAGTAGTGTCATCCTCACCAATCTGAATTATCAGTGGCTCGATTTGTGCCTCTATTATGTTATCAAGCTTCCACATCTTCGTCTCGACTTCCGATATCACATGCCGAACACACTTCTCCCATTTCTCCGGTGTGACTCTTTTCAAAGCCTCATCAAAAAGTATTTTGAGATCTGCAAATTTGAACATGGTGTTATACTGAGCTACAAAATATTTCACATCCGCCCATATTAACTCGATGGGATTGAGCTCGCAGTGGTATGGAGGCGGCGAAGGACAATTTTGTTTTGGCCTGCTGCTATCTCATCGACTATATATTTTTGGTATTCAAGCTTGCGCTCCTTGACAATTTTTAGTAGCTGTACTCTTAGCATTGAGTCTTCAAAGCTAATATTCTTTGATCGCAGCCAATTTTGGATTTCAACCTTCTTTGAAGACGTTGTCGGAATCTTCTCTAACCGTCGCGAATGATAAGGTGCATTGTCCATTACAATCACAGCATTATCCTCCAGATGGGGTAGAACTTTGGAAAACACTGTTCGAAAGATTCACCGTTCATTTCTTCGTGATAATCTCCAGTTTTCTTCGACTCGAAACACCACAGCAACAAACCCATTCTCATTGCCGATGTGACAAATAATAAGCCGTTTTCCTTAACCTGAAATTATGAAGAGGTAAGTAAATAAAACAAATACGTGCATTACTTTTTATATATTGAGACTGAGGCAGGTCTTAATATAAATATAAGTTCACCTGATGGATTTGTTAATCCGGTGGATAGTCCATCTAGAAAGGCCTCCCTAGATGAGGTCACAGTTTCATCGACCCATACTTTAGGGGTAGTATGACCAGCATTAACCCAGGTTTCATTCATATAATAAATTGTTTTCTGTTGTTCCCTATAATATTTAATTTTGGTCAAATACTCTCTCCTCCATAACACAATTTCCTCTCTATCCAGTAATAAACTATTGCGCCCTCGTTTTATCCATACAAAATTCAAATGTTTCAATACTTTATGGAATGTTGACCGCTTAAAACTTGGCAATAAAACATCTTCATTTATTTCTGTGAGTACTCATGCACTTTCCTCCTGATTGCATGTTTATCAGCATCATCTATTGATTTTATAATGGTTTGACGATTCTGATTTGTATTAGGTTTGGAAAGTGTATGATTTTGTTTATAGTCCCATAAAACATTGTAAATCGAAGCGCAACACACTCCAATTTTATCAGAAACTTTCGATACGACTTCGTCGACAGTCGATGTCTCAATTTCTTCCATCTCTTTCTTGAACACATTTAAAATCACTTCTTTCATCTCAACACTCAAATGTCTTTTTTTGGGTCGTTTCCAGGCTGGACTCAGAGGATAGCTCACAGTGTCATCAGCAGTGTCTGTACTAGATGGACATCTTGGAAAACAATTTTAAACAATATACTTCAACGCACGCCACACAAACACGCAAACGACTGATTACAACCCTGTGCTGGTACCGAACTCGTACCAAGAAGGCGAATTCACCAATGAACGCTGCTCTTTGCATCTGACACTGGGCGATCACGTGAACATCACGCTTCGGTTTTGTTTTGTTTTGTTTTACTCTATCTTGGATTTGGATAGACTTTAGGTAAAAAGGGTCTTGATGAGGAGTTCGTTCTAGGTTCCCATGTTTGAAAAACAAATATTCCTCTGAGTTATGAGTGGAGAAGTAAACATGCTTAAGTTATACTAAAGGCGTTAACTACTAAGGCTTTTCAGGTTCTGGTATTTTCTCCACTGTTTCACCACATAATGTGCAATAACATTATTTATGAATTTTGTAGCCCTACTATTCAAATATTTCAAATGATAATTTATCAACTGCTTGTTTTATGGATGTAACAATCAATGCAGTTGAGAACCACAAATCTTCAAGTTACTTTCAGGAGTACACAATATTGAAAAATATTTTTTTTCAAAAAGTTATTTATGAAAATGTTCTCAAATGGATGTATCAAGTAATCCCTTTGGTCAAATTGTTACATTTTCCTTCTACATTCATTACTAGTGGCAAACAGTTTTTATTCATCAACTGTTACATTATTTTCATGTAATCGTATCACTTGAATTTATAAAATTTACTTCACTAAGGTTTTGCTTTGTTGACTCTGATCGTGTTATTAATTGACAGGCTTTTAGTTACTCCACCCAATTCATCATTACCCATGCCTAGAATCATGTTAGAAATATGCCAAAACCTTTCCATTCACCGTTCCAAAAGTTCTCAATTGGCATTCCTGATGATCTCATCATAGAGTGAAAGATGGTTCTGGTCTTTAAAATTCCTCACATATAGCAAAAACACTTTCAAGCTACTCAACTCACTCTCATTGACAAAACTTCATTAAAAAGAAGTCCAAACACCTTAATTTAGAGAATCGCAAGATAATTAGACTGGGGAAATCCTCTAATATTCCATATCCTCATGTATTTTTAGCTTGTTTGTTCATGTTTCATTTTCATTCATGAACGAAGATGATCAATTCTTAAGAATACTTCGACATCAATTGTACTTTGAGCTTTCAAATCAATCAACTTTCAAGGAATAATTTGTAATAAAATTGAATTTAATTTAAGGTTCTTCCTGAGAGCAAGAAAAGAGGTTATTCTAACTGCTGGAGCAATCAATAATGCCAAGCTGCTTCTCATGAGTGGTTTGGGATCTAGGTCCTACCTCGTGTCCAAGAATCTTCCATTTCACGCAAATTTGCCAGGCATAGCGAAAAATCTCTTGCTGCGTCCAACAGTACCTCTGTATGTTGCCATAGAACCGTGTTGCAGTGTTTGCCATCGAGAGTACTACCAAGAAGAAGACCTCATAAAGGATTGTTTCGACTATATCATGTACAAGTCTGGTTCCTGGAGCCATACCAACATCAATTCATTCGTAGCTTACATCCTGACTCGAAAGCTTGGCACTAGTCTACCCAATATAGCGGTTCACCATATGTATTTTAAAATTGGAGATAGGAACTTGAACGCTTGGGTTGACGCTATGAACTACCATCCGAAAATTACTAATTCCCTACTTAATTTCAACAAGGAACGGGCGATTATTTTGTTTATGGTCGAGCTCCTGAACCCTTTGTCCAGAGGCGAAGTTCTTTTGAATGAAACGCATTTTCTGAGCAATCCGATTGTTAAGGGAAATTTTTTCACAGACGACGAGAACTGGGACTTTGATACCTTGTACAGCGGGTTCAGTTTCATTACAAACCTGACTGAAATTGAGGCTCTAGCCAAAGATAAAGCCGAGTTTTTGGATTTAGACCTACCGAACTGCAGGAATTTTAAATTTTGTACCCCCACATACGTGAAATGTTACATACAAAATATGGTGTTTCCGAGAAGCGACATAGGTGGAACGGCAAAAATGGGCCCAGAATGTGATCACAACGCTGTGGTGAAGGAAAATCTGGAAGTAAGGAGTGTGAGGTGTTTAAGAGTGGCGGATTCAAGTGTTTTGAATTTTTTGCCAGTCGGGAATACTGTCGCTACTGATGCCATGATTGGGTACAACTTGGGGGAGATTCTAAAAGAAAAATGGCTGAAGAATTACACCTCAATATTCCGTTCATGAACGTTTTGAGATACAAAATTATTCTTTTATCAATAATATTGGAACTCTTCATAACTGTATGTAAAAATTTACTTTCTGTAATTGTAGCAGAAATAAATTCAATTTCTCTTCTCCATAATTTGATTCCTTCATATAATAATAACAATATAATACAATTATAAACGATAATGTTGCAACTATGGTATTAAATACTTCTGAAAGTGGGAAATTGACCAGACTCTATTCATTGTTAGCTAGAAAAATATAAACAAATTCATTCACATAACCAAGAAATTCGAAAAGAAAATAAATTCAAATGAAATTTGTATGGCAAATAACCATAAATTATGAATAGATTATCTTTGTGTTTGAATACCTATATTTTAATAAACAATCAATTTCATACATTTAATTTAATTACATAATGAGTTGATGTTATTTGAAATTTCAGGATTTTGATTATGTTTTATGTTGGGATACCACTTACTACTCAATTAACTCACTATGGTTCTGTTAGCGGACCCAAACTTTTTTATTCGAAGACATGAAGAAAATAATCATTCGAGTGAAAACAAATTTCCATCTTGAATAACTTCTATAGGTACGATTCTGACGATTTTTTCAATCATTAGAAGAAAATTTATCTCAAATTCATTAATATAAAATAATTTTCTGTTCCTGCATTCATTTTCACATCACGATTCGTTTCAAATTTATGAATAATTGAAACATTGTATGATTAATGAACCAAGTTTACATACAGAATCGTTTTATGTTTATTCCAAAAGGTATTTATTCTACAGGATGTCTCAATCCTATTGGATAGAAATATAACTTCTTTTTCCCGTATCATGCTTATGAATTGAGCATCTTTCAAAAATGTATTTATTGCGAATCAATCTGGGATACACCCCCTTCCATTCATTGAAAAAAGATCGAAACCAAGATAAAAAAAGATATTCAAGATCAAAATTTGTTAGCATTCAAAGCTGGCCGTTTTTATATACCTAAGTGAAGAATATTTTTTTGTTTATCTCAGAAAAAGTGTGCAAAACTGGTTACAAATTTTCTGTTACATCAATAGTACAGGCATTACCGATTCTGATTTCAGTTTCAACTCCAAAACAACTGTAATTTTTTCTCAATTCATTTGAGAAATTGGAGATTTTGATGAATTTAGGTTTTACATGGTTTTACTTTGTTTTTACAATGCTCTTGTGTCTAATTCAGTATGTTAGTGGCACTTCTTCTATTCTCTTACATGGGGATTGTCCGTTTTCGACAGAGTTCTGACCTCAGGTGAAGGATGGTTACCTAGGTTGATGACGTAGCTTTCACTACGTTTGAAAATTTTCAAAATCTGATGAGTCGTGTTTGAGTTATCAATTACAGATAAACTAACAAATGAATGATATACAGTGTGACCCATTTTTAATGGAAACACCCCCCTAAAATTTAAAGTTGTAAACCGATTTTAATAATTTTTTTTAATGTCAAAATTTTCGACTAAGAAAAAATATCGTAGTATGTCCTGAAACTTTAATAAACATTTCAAATTTTGTCCCAAGGTAGACCTTTTAGTACTTGACATTTAAAAAAATTATTAAAATCGATTTACAACTTCAAATTTCAGGGGGGTGTTTCCATTAAAAATGGGTGACACTGTAGATGAACGTCTCTAGAGTTTGATCTAAAGGCCATTTTCATACTATCATAATATAACGACATTTATTTGAAATTTACCTGAAGCTAGCTCACAAGCATGGACCATCAAAGGGGAGGTTTATGTTTTCGCGTTATTGAGACTCTTTGGATCAGGTCAAGGAATAAAATATTCAATATCCTTGATACGAGGCGTATCTTTTAAGTGGTTAGGGTAGGTTCAAAGTGAGTGAGTCTATTCGATTCTCCACCGCAACCCGCAAGGGTTTATTGTGACTCACATCTATTCACACTCGACCAAATAAACCCAGCTTCTTGACGAAGCCGATTAGTTTGTATAGTGAGTGGTCTTTCACGTCAGATGGTAAGAGTACGGCTCTGCTGAACTCTAAAAACCCGTTCCCCAGCGGGGCAGGCACAAAATATGTGCTGTGCTGTTCCATCAATTTCCAAAAAGTGGCGACACACACTGTCTTTCAACAGTCCGAGTCTCTGCATATGTTGATTCAAATGACAGTGACCTGTAAGAAGGCCTGTTAGATGTCTTTTAAGTAAGTACCATTTTGAAATCTTAAATCTAATTTTCTACATAATCGCCTCCATTATTAAGGCACTTATCATATCGTACAATGAGCTTTTGCATACCAATGTCATAGAAGTCTGCCGCCTGAATTGTCAGCCACTACGACACGACCGTTTTGACATCGTCATCGTCGTCGTGGTGTTTACCGGCCAGATGTTTCTTTAAATGCAGGGACAGTGGTAATCGCTAGGCGCTAGATCGGGACTGTATAGAGGGTGATCGAGTTGTTCCCATCGGAATGATGTCATAAGGTCTTGGGTTCGATTAGCCGTATGTGGACGGGTATTGTCGTAAAACCCTTACTCAGCATGCTACCTTCCATGGCTCATAATGTTTTGTTCGTACACTGCACAGATGTCCTGATGAATATTGATCGCTGTTAAGCACTCCAAAAACGAATAACAGATCGAACTTCACAGTCGACAGGACTCTCATGTGGCGTTGCCATTTTGAATGTTTGTTAGATAATCGTTGGCGTATTGGTGTCTTATCCTTGGTACTCGATGCAGGCACTCAGTGCGCATGCGTGGAATGCCGACCACAGCGCTGCAACGGCGAAAAATCAAAACGGTACTTACAAAATACGCCTTATATATCGTAACTCAATAATAAATTTGGGTATGCATTAGATACATTTAATGAGAAAATAAAACCTTGAGCTCTGTAGATTGAGTGTACTAGTTGGACTTTTCTCGAAATCGTATCTTCCTAACCAATCTCACCTTATCAAGTTGGGATTGATCAAAGTTGGTGTAGCTAGGCAACATTTCACCAGAATTGTTCACTTTTTGGTATCCCTTTTTTTTTGGCAAAAAAATTCGAAAACTGTCTTTTCCACATTGCAATTACTATAATTCTATGTTTGAGATTTATTTTTGTGGAAATTCATGCTTTATTACGTATGTTCAAATCCTCGTAAGTTGATGTTCGACCTTTTAGTTCTTTAAAAAAATCTGTCACATTCTGAGTTGAAATCTAGTTTCAGATGGTTGACGACGGAACATTGTTTTTACCAAAAATTCAGAAAACGTTTTGCCGACATTTACTTCAAGGTTTAAGTGTAATTAATTTTATTTCTCAATTCATTAGCATAGTACCCAATCGATATGTGCATATAATGATCGATGTTTGCCCTGTGACCTCAAAGAGAAACATACATTTCAGAACTGCATTTCTTTAATTCATGGTTTGGCAACGAGTTTCGTAAAAAGTAGGTAACCATAAAACTTGCAACTTTTTTCAAATGTCTTCGTTCCTGCATTGAATAGCATATTGCATAACCTTTTCTCAGTATCATTGATGAAGGCTGTGTATTAATTTGTGAATAAAGTTTATGAGTCGTATCAACCGTTATTAATATACTTTCGATAATTCAGGAAAAGTTGAGTTTCATTGGCTGATTTTCCATCAAAACTCACACTCAAGGAAGGAGAACATTAAGACACGCCCGCAGAAGCCGTTGTATGGCGAAACATGTGTTGCGTTTTTGTAAAATTGTTTAGTGTTTTTAGATTACGTCAATAATTAATTAATTCATTCAACCCTTCATTTATCAAAACAAGAGAACTCCAAAGCTTATCTAAAAATATTAGATAGAAACTTCAAAATTTAATTGATATAGAACTGGAGTGTTTCGTGTTTGGAAACCTGAATATCANTATTTAAAGCTAGTAAAAAAGACCATATGACGAATTATAGACCAATTTCAGTTCTACTAGTTTTATCTGAAATTATTGAGGAATCAGCACATTCCAGATGTTTCATTACAATTTTTCAGATTGTGGTAGGTGAAAATACCCAAAGAAGGTCGGTAAAACACTTTATACGTTTTTCGAAGCTCTCATTTGCTTTTTTTCTGCTTTTGGATTTTTGACAAAAGAAACAATTTGGATGTTCCATTCGAAGATGTGCCAAGTTAACGGTTACATCATCATGGAAAGTGGATATAGCTACGAGTCTCTTCGTATACTTACTGGGTCGAAATAGAAGTTGTTGAACCTATCATATATGGTTTCAATGAGTTTTCCTTTTTCTGTGATTTTTTATTTGGATGAAAAGTATTACACAACGAGCTCCCTTATTTCTCTCGGGATCAACAGAAAGGAAGGTCTCCTATTACATTCATAATTGATGATCCTCCAAGTATCTCTACTGATATTTGGAGAACATGCCAAAAAACTTTCATACGATTCTCGTTTTGCCAGTTGTATAGACTTTTTGTAATCTTTGCGTAATGTTTTAAAGATTTTTTCGGTTACCAAATCTTTCCTAGCGTTTTGGACAACCCTGATGTTCGAGAGGATTTCCCTCTTATATCGTAATTCATCACCGAACCAACTGACTGGAGGTCTTTGATCGCGATGATGTCTCGCCCTCCTCAAAGGAAACATCTCGACCACATAGCAATTCAAGACCTCCACAAGAAGTTCACCCAAAGCATCCGTAACTTGCTCTAAACAAATATCTATCTACCAGAGACTTTCAAAACAAATATGTGTGAAATTTCAATAAGGGATCATAAATTGATTGACCATAAGCTAATAATAACTGGTTTAAATGTAAAAAAACAACTAAAAGAAGAAAGATTTAAAAAATTTGTGATGCACTGTTTGGAACCTTTCGTGTAGTAATGAATATTACTGGAGATTTTTCTCAACACCAAACCGTTATTTCAACACCTCGACACGTGTTTTGATCACCAAGTGATCATCTTCAAGAGGAAGATCCAACTTCCTACAATATATTTGTGAAAGTTCAAACAATTATTTTATTACTGTTGATAATAATTTATCATCTAGTATTCCTACTTAACAAAGTTTAGCAGTTCAATCAGAATTATCGTCTATGTATATCAAGCCTACCGAATCAGTGAATATAGAAGAAATAATCAGTAT